TTCACAACAAGGCCTCTCTCTCTCTCTCTCTCTCTCTCTCTCTCTCTCTCTCTCTCTCTCTCTCTAAAACCCTCATTAGTTGCAAGAGCTGGGAGCAGAAGGGAAACTTTACTTGGCTGCAAACTAGAAAAAGTTAACAACGTCTTGAGTGTAGGAATTTGAGAGGCTCTCTGTCTCACTTGAAAACATCATCTCTCTGACATAACCGAGTAGAAATGTATACTGAATGAGGACGTGGGCGAGGATCAATATACAGCTTATATGTCAGTCAGAGGCGAGCAAAATCAGAACTAAAATATGACGTACATTTCTGAACCAAAAACACCCACCCAGTTTTCCTCAGTTACTTGCCTGTCTTGTGAAATAATCCAACTCTTAACACTTAATCATAGCTTTGCACACAACTCACTGCCTGAGAGAGAGAAGGTTCACATTGTCCCTCTGAAACCGTTTTGAGTATGACTTTAACTGGCGATGACAAGGTATGCCAGGGAACACTGGGAAAATATAATTTCTCCACAGTTTATTCAATTACAGAGCGCCTCGACACGAAAATAAATCCTCTCCTCCGATGTTGCACCCAGAGAAAATGTCTTCTCATTTCAGAGAGCTGCTCTGAGATTCAGAATCCTGTACGGGCGGAGGCTATATGTGGGATTGCTTTGCTCCACGGCACTGGAGCAGAGAATGAGGGCATAAAGCTTGTCCTCCACGCGTTCCTCTCCTCTCTCGACAAAACCCAATAACCACCCTGTGTTCCAACAATAGGCTTCAGATAAGAGGGAGAAAGAAGAGAGAATAATAACGCTCAAGTGCCATGGAGGGATTCTGTTTTTATCAACCCAGCACTCCAGAGGACAGCCTCAAAAACATTGTGTGTTTTTGTGTGTGCGCTCAAACTCAATGCCAACGAAAAATAGGATTTGTTATCTGCTTCCCACAGCTGCCCCTAGTGACCCTCAGCGCGGTGGAGAAATACCAAAAATACTCACCGATAAGAGAGGCCTACAAGGGGAGAGTGAATTTTAATCACTTAAGAGCATGTGTTGTGGCGATACTGTCATGTTCCCCCGGCAGAGGTAGTTAGTATAACAGCACAATAGTGGAAGGACTCCGCGGGGATGCCTATATAAATATGACAGTGTTGTTTATGCATGAGCTCCTCTTGGCAGGGAAGTGAATATCCGACGCTGCTGTTTCTACAACACATGGAGCAAAGCCAGATATATTTGGACAAATGTCTTCAATGTGCTGTCAATTACCTGATTGTATTAGCTTCCTTTTTACAATAGCTGTTTGTACTTGGCGGATTGAACTGTCTCGTGCAAAGTCGTTTAATTTTTGAGTGTAGATAGCACGGTGGTGGTTTGGGAAATGCCGTCACGTTTCAAATGTAATTCCTCGTTGTTTTTCATCTTTTCCTTTACTAACCCGGAGGCTATTGTTTTCTCTGCCTCTTCATATCTGGAATATGCAAATGAAACCATTCAGCAGCGCGTCTCAATTAAATTAATGTTCTCCAGAAGTCATCTGCTTCTGTTCATTTAACACGGTCGCATCCTAGCTCCAACAGGCAACCCTGACAGAAGAATCGGTCTCGGCAACTCTGACATGCTTTTCTCAGCTTCTGGAAAGGCCCATCAGTCACCGGAGAGACAGGAAGCAGATGGAAACAGGAAGTGGAGACAAATCACAGACAAGCTTGTTGGGAAATCTGACACTGTCGGATTGAACTGTTCTCCACCTCGCTCATGTCCTGATTGCAGATATCAGCTCCATCTGATGGTTAAACTCATTGCTTAAAAATGCTGTAATTATGATCTCATATGAATCTATTTGTCCCTCCATTAGGGGGAACTCTCAGAGGGCATGGCGAGAAAACAGAGACTAGATAATGAGAGCCGAGCCCATTAAAAAGCTTGAGGCTCCTTCCATGATAAATTATACAGCGCATGAGAGACATACTTAAATTCTGCTTGCTGCCTCTTCGTCCCAGCCAACACACTTAGGCCTGTAATGCATGGGTAATGGGAAGACTGGGAATATCGTGAGATACAAGAAGTTATTTCAAAAGTAGGCACTTCAACAAAAAGAAACGCGGAGAGGTCAGTAGCATTGGGTTCATTTATCATGTGAAATACATGGTGGACCGTCAATTATGCAGCTTTTTCCCTTGTGGAGGAATCAGTGTGAAGCTACCAGCGTCCTGACACCAAGAGTTAAATGAAGAAAAATTAGGCTTTGATGTCAAATATTATCAGGTGCTTTATTAGGTTTCAAGAAACGCACCAGTTGAGGATGGCGTCGGCTTCACCTCGGTGTATCTGAGTCCAATTCAATATCTCATTACTTTGGTGTGAATAGGTTGAACGGAGACGATGGTCCATGTGTCTTGACGATACGCCAGAGTACATACAGCAAAAGGCCAGCGCTTCTTTCTGATATTAAGTATTGATTTGGAAAGATTGATCTAAACTGTATTAAAAGAGCACTGAGAGAGAACCAGTCAAGCAGATAGCGATAAAGAAAGAAAAAAAACACAAGCAGAGACCCAAAAAGAAAGCAAAACATTAGGAAGATACCTGTGTAGGTGCTAGGGGCTAAAAAGATGGGAATTAAAGGTTGAGAACAAGGAGAGTGCCGTGAAGAGAAATGCTCCAGACTCCAGGAGCTGACACTAATTGGGGTGTAGGCGGCGTAAAGCTCGAGAAATATCCTCATCGTCTTGTAGAGCCGGGTGGAGGAAGCGCTCACACGGCAGATGTCAGGAATGCTTGTTTTAGTGTCGAATCATTGTCGTGTTCGTGTAGGAAAGAGGCCCTCGATGTTAACAAGAAAGACGGGATGGAAGAGATGGGGGCGATAACAAGAAAGAACGAGTATTTTGTCAATATGACTGCCATGTTTTGCTCTGAGCACTTCTTTTTATTCAGTTTCCTTCATTAACTGTGGGATTCACACAAAATCTACTTACTGCTGGCCAAAGAAAGTGTCTTGCTCAAGAAACGTTGTGTTTTTATTGAATTAGCTTTTCATAAGCTTACTTTTGTTTAGTTTCAAATATTGGAGTAGCCCATGTGGATCACAGTTAGTGTCAATGCTATCTTCCTGAAAACATTGGTTGGTTATTTAAACACTTAAAAGTTACACCCAAGGCTGTAGTTCAGTTTTTACATCTACTAATGTTATGACCGGAAAGAGAGAGAGAGACGTTCGAGGCTTTCCAAAAACCACGGCACATTTATTGTGGCAACCCCAAAAACATAACACGGCGGTGGGTTGATGTAAATGTAAAGTGAGAGGCTGGGCGAGGGGCAGGGATCCCAGCGAGAGTCTCCCACATCAGTCTCGGTCGTGATCGCCCCGTGACTCCAGGCAGCTGGGCCTAAGTAGCACCTGGGGTTCCGGCCAGGTGTCCCCAGTCATGCTGATTGGTGTCCTCAGCTCCACCGCCATCACAGGACCTGCAACACACCTGCACACTAACAGGCCACAGGCTCTGGGGCCGTCACACTAAAAACACATTATACACAGAAAGACAAATCTGACTTTCAATTAAAGCTGCACTCTGTTATAGCAATGGATCAAATAACTTACATTTCTGAGCTTTTTAGCTTCTTTCAGCTCCTTGTTTTGGTCTTAAGCCATGCAACTTCTTTAGTTGTTGTTGTTGTTTTGATCACACTCACTACTCTTATCAACCTAATTTCCAGGCATTGCAGGCAGCTGCTGTTTCCTGCTAAATATGCTCTGAGAAACCCACTGTTACCTCATTCACACCAACGCAACTCCGGTTCAAGCTCTGTGCTAGAGCTTTTCAGGTTCAGAACCGGTTCTTCGGTTTAGCTCCGGCTCTTTTCACACTGCCCAGAATCCGACTGGTGCTGCGTCATTGCGTCATCATTTGCGTCATGACGTAACCGTTTGCGTGCCTGCTTCATAAATCCAAACCGCGTGGAAACCCCTCACAGCTGACACCGACAACAACAACAATGGCCGATCTGTGCTCCAGCTTCCTCTGTACCTCTTCAGAAGACCGGATTCCCAGTAGGTAGCTGGTCTCTTCAGTGGACCACTGCTGCTTGTTACGTTTCTCCATCGTTGTGTACAAACTGTATAAAACGCAGGCTTTGTGTTTTTGTTCAGGAGTTGATCCCGCCCCTGCCCCCGCCCCGACGTAAGCGGTGCTTTTGCAATAGCCGGAAAAATGTTTGGTGCTTGAAACAAACCGGATTCCGGAGCTAAGANAGACCACGATAATGACGTTGTATATGCACGTTAAAGAGAGAGAGCAAACAATAAAAATACGTAAATTGCATTAAATCAAGGAGGCAATTAAAAGCACCCTGCAAACTATTATCCAATGAGCATATTTCCAGCACTTAAACACTTTCAATAACAGCCCATACCGCCGTTAAAGCCCCCCTATCATGATGAATGAAAACAATCTGCGTGTTGATGGAATGTACTTTCTTTCTATTGACGAACACGTCCTCATCTTTTGATGGCGCAATTATTTTTATGTGCGTCCCGTCAATAGCAATAGTTATTCCTGTTAGTGCGGGATGCAATAACATCCCCGACTAATTCCACAACAAGTTTGATACCCTCACGATTTAGCCTATATCTCTTGATCAATTCACAGTCTTCCATTGTCTCCAAAACATTTCGTCTCGCAGCCATTTTCAGATTCTTTGTGAATAGGTCTTACTGAGGTAGGAGTCCTCTCGAGGACTTTTAAGCTCACCTAAACTTAGGTGCTACTTTTAGGCCTAAAATACTTTGTGAATTGCTCTTAGTGAATACAATTAGGAGTCCTACATTTAAGACTGACACGCCCATTATGTTTAGGAGTTTCTCCTAAATTCGCCAGTTAGGAGCTACTTTTAGCCCTAAGATCCTTTGTGAATACGGCCCCAGAGCTATACGTGTGGCCTCTGGCTGTTTATGGCCTATGTTTCAGCACTATTGTGAGTTTAACATCCCTTTTGTTGTTTTAGATGGGATGAGATTCCCAAGTCTGAATGGACAAAGCTCTTCACCCGTTGTGGGTAGCTTGGAGGATGACTCCAACTGTATGTCCTTTGCACAGGTGTGTAGAAAATATACAAATACCTAGTTGGCAACATCATTTATTTAGACTGCATTTGTCATGTTGGGGAAATGCATCACACATCTGAAGTGCTAATGTTGTAGCACATCATCTAAATAAAGGAAATGCTCCTGTGTCCTGTATAGATGCTCAGAGATGGGAAAGCCAGAGGTGATGCTGGGCCCTGGAACGCTCCAAAGAAAGGTAGATTCACAATTTAGACAGCAAAAGTAGCAAGCTTCCAATACTTGCATCATATGTGTCCTACAAGTTTAGGTTATTTTAGTGCCATCTCTTGTTAAAATTGATATGTCAATACAAAAGTACAAGTTCTCTGGACTTTGTAGTTCATTTGTGGACATTACTTTTCTATCAACATTGTAGCACCTTCATATATAAATCTGCACAAAGAAAGGATCTTTGTGGGCTGCAGCATTCTGCCAGAAAATCATTGAAACCATTTAATTAACAGCAACATAATCAGTCATAGCTGCAACTTGTATATTGTTTTTTTTTTTTAAATATGTCAATGTCATCTTCAAAACTCAGATTTTTGGAATCAATAGAGAACCGTAATTTGGAATCTAACTGTAGTTTATTTTTTGTCTTTTTGTGCAGAGTTAAATGATGAAATGGTAACTTATTTGTTCTTATTCAACAAGCAACGTGTTGTATTTAAGTAGTATATCGTTATTAATATCTGTTTATTTGCAAGTAACAGTGCTTCACTTTTAAACGATCTGTTATACAGCTGTTTAAAACACAATACACTTAAGATAGCTTTGTTCTTGTATATGTGCTTGTGTGAGTTGGTACATGTTGCACATACTGGCAGGTATGTGGACGTAGTAACTGGAGCTGAGTTCAGTGCACTGTATTTCTTGTAAAGCCAGTTTTTAGCAGTGTAACTCCCCGAGGGCTTCCTGACATCAGTGTTGTGTTGTTCCATGTAGAGCTGCTCGGCCCCCCGGCAGCAGACAGCGACGGAGAGAGCGACGGGTCCGACCGCGTGCCGGTGCCCAGCTTCCAGAACTCCTTCAGCCAGGCCTTCGAGAAGGCTCTCCTGCAGCTGGACTCTCCTCCACAACATGTGGTCGTCCCAGGTCTGGCATCTATCAATTCACTTTATCCAATAAATAGCCTTTCTGCAATTCAAGTATTTGTTTAACACTCACCCTTGGTTGTCTTTCAGATGAGAAAGGAGGAAAGAAGAAGAAGAAAAAGCAGAAACTTCTATTCAGCACATCCATGGTTCACACAAAGTAGACGACACTGAAGTTTATTCAACCATATTTGTCTTGAGTTGATTTTCCTTATGCTTGTTTTAATTTCATACAGATCTTTCTTGGAGCTACAAGCTATTGAAGCTTTCAGTACGTAGCTAAAGTTCATGCTGCTTTTAATTATTCTCTCGTTGTCATCAGTTTAATTTATATACATTTTCCGGAAGGTCAAAGCTTTTCAGCGTCCTCCTTTCACAAAGCAAACTTTTGGGTTACCTTTAGGTTCAGATGCTAAGTAAAGGGAGACATCAAACAAGCTATACATGGCTTCAGGGTGACTTGCATCACAGTCGTTTCTGTATGATGTCAAACGTTCAAGAAGTAGACCCTGAGCACCTGGGTTCCATGAGTTACATTGATGAGATAAATCTGGGTGCTTGATATTGCAGTAGCAGTCAGCCAGCTGCAGGTACGGTGCACCTTTTTAAAAATCTTTCCAAGATACTCAGTGCTCAGACATTCATTTGGAATTTCCTCTTAGATTAAATGGAAACATACCTATCAGTGTTGGCTAGTATTCATCACCATGGTATTTTCTAACAACAACATGAATACATGAAATACCATTGTGAGGAAATTAAAAACACAGTATTGTATTGAAGAGATTAGATCTGTTGGTTCAACAAAACTCCAGTATATGCTATACTTTCTTCCGTTTTTAGTTTTCTCCTGTCATCTTAAAGGTTTACTCATTTTTTACTTTTATTTCCCTAGCTTGATTTCAGTGTTGAAAAGGTTTGAAGCTAATGAATTGCTGACATCCAACGAATGCTTTGAATAAAAGTGGATTGAATATGTTTTGGTTTGAGGGTTCTGTAATGAGCTTTTTAAGTTTGAGAAAGTTTAAAGGCTAGTGGACATAAGTAGTCTGATGAAATGAATAAACCATTATGCACAATAAAGAAACTGAGTGTTTAATGCTGCTCTTAGTGCCAAGGCTAATAAAGGTTCTGGTTTGGTAAGGTCAACAAATGGAAGTCTCCATCAGGACAGGTGCTTCCATATTTTCGATGCAGTATTTAGTTTTCTCCACATGGGGGCAGTCCTGTACGACCAGTATAATCTTTGTCATAAAGTTATCTCGGCCCCTGGATCAACGCTTTATACATTAAATGCCTAATTTATACCAAGAGGACATACAAACTAAGCATATTAACATTAAATGTTGCCTCATACTTATTTTGTATATGGTTTAAATTAAGATTATCTTTAATTGTTGTTTCTATAAAATATCAGAAAAATGGTCATCACACTTTGCAAGTCCATGATGATGTCGTCTCATCTCTTGCATTGTCAGTCGACAACCCAAAGATAGTCATTTAAATATGATATGAATCGGAAAGTATGATATCTCATTGGAGAGGCTGGAATCAAGATTTTTTTTGCACGAAAAACTTCTTTAACGATGAATTTATTTATTTTTAAATTGGAAATAATTTTTCTGTGAATGACCAATGGATTAGTGTAGATGTATTGGTGCAGCTCTAATTTAATTATATAAATTATATGGGTATCCTTATTTATATGACAACATGTCTGTTCATTATAACAGGCATTAGCCAACGCTTTATTCTAACTAAGTTCATAAATGTTAGTCAGAAGTTTTGAAGGTAAGGTTTCTCTTGAAAGTGACACATTAATTCTATAGTAGCTGGAATGGGATCGTTCTCTCCAAATCGCATTATCCAATGTAGTGTCCAGCAACAGATGCGTCAAGTTATCCACATTAAGATCCAATTCATCCCGGAAGTCAGTGATAAGCTTTTAAAATACACAAGTTGCTCGAGTGATACTGTGGCTATTCACGACTAGACAACAGTTGTGAAAAGTAACTATTGTACTTAAGTATAATGTTAAGTACTTGTTCTTTACTTGAGCAATTATATTTCACATCATGTTATACTTCTACTAAATATTGTAGGCTTGACTTGACTACATTCTTTTGATAAACTAGGTTACTTAAGTATTCACATGAAACAGTTTAAGTATAAATTAACTGCAGTAGCTACAAAAAGCAATTGGAACCATCTCCAGCTTATTAAAGTAGTTAACAGTAGTAGTGAATAACACATGAATTCACAGATTTAATCAAATATATTTTAATATCTTATATACAATGGGCCAGTGTGCAGATTAAGTTAATATACTTTTGGGAATTTAAGTACATTTTGATGCTCATACTTTTGTTCTATTACTCAAATAAGAAAATGTAAACATAGTTGTTATACACTTTAGTAGGCTATTGTTACTTTTACTTGAGTAAAGTATCTTTGTACTTTTACCAACACAAGTAGGCTACTCACAAATGTTCTCACAGATATAAATTGTGACTCCTTTGTTGACAAATGTACATTTGGTGAAATTGAGAAGCTAGCTGGCAGTAAATATAGTTTAAGGCTTTCTTTACCAGCTGCAACATCCAAGTAAATACATCACAAATTATAATCCAAATTACCTTTTCAAAAAAAATGTTTTTGTTTATCAACACTGCAGTAATGTTGCTTTTACTTGATTAAAGATTCCATAACTTATTTTATCACTTCTACTCACATCCCTTCCTTGAGATTAAATCTGACTCCTTAGTTGTGATAACATCTTTAGTAACACTAAAATACTACTTCGAAAGCGTGTAGCTGCCATAGTCAGTTGAGTTTGTTTGTGTTTTATTTCGAAAGGATTAACCGGAACTCTCTTACGTTATGTTTACGTACTTGACTTCTCTTCAGAGGCTAACCACTCGTTGACGCTGTCTGGTGTCAACAACACTGCAACCTGAGACGGGATAGCCAGCCCGTCGGCTAGCTAAGTAAACCAGCTAAAGTTAGCTTCTCCGCTAACCTCTTTATTATCCTACTGTCACGACGACTGGTAATATAATAACTATTCTAAGTAGGAATATATAAATTGTCTTTGAAGTTGTTTCGACGCGAGAAAAGGCAAAACGGAGGACTTTTTCATCCCGGTAAGTTGTCTTTGGTTTCTATCAGACAGCAGTGTTTCCATTTTGCGAGTCTTGAGTTGTTAGCTTACTGTTGCTAGCCAGCAAGCTGTTGATGCAGTTTACCTTTCCTGTGTAATTGGTAGACTGTTTGGACTCTACGTTTGTTTTGACACTTTTTCAGTACTTCTCTACTTCAGGATGGTTGTTATGCTTTAAATGCACCTCTTTTCTGTGCAGGCCAACTCTTGTGTTTTGCTAAATGGACCGGGTACTGTGCAAGATACGAGGTGTTTTAACGTGAGGTGAGCGCACGGGACAGGAGGTAGAGCTCACACTTGTTGCAGAATGAGACACAGATTTGAATGACAATAGCTATTATAGATCTAGTAAAGGTTGTTTATTTATTATTGTTTATTATAAATTGAGATTTCATAGAATAATGATTTTTTTTTAGACATAACGTAATTGATCTGCTTGTATCATGTTGGACATTTTAGAGTTTGGAGCATTTCACAGGCATACTTGCTTCTTTTGATTAACACATTTACACACATGTTACATTTTGCTTGCCCCTGTTTGAGACCACTTTATTTCCCTTCCCTTAATCTACTGAATCAAGTCTTTATGTGATGCATATTAGATGCAGCTTTCTTATGTTTTTATTATTAATAGCCCTTAAAAAAGTCGTACATAAGACAATATAATAAATAAATATCCAACGGGAGGCAAGAAGAAGCCTTAAAGGCTCATCGTGGTGTTTTAGATGAGGACACTTACAACTGTAACAAAATACTTTCCAATAAACGTTAACCTAATTCAATACAAAGAAGAAGAACAAGTCATTATCAGTAAAGGAAGAATCACACACATAGATAAGAAAAGTACAAAGAAACACAATTATTAAAGTGTTAAATAAAATGAAGCAGTCATGTCCTTGACGTCAGAAGACATCTGAGCTTATAAAACATATTTGTGGATTGTTTATTAATCCTTAAATATGTTTTGTGGAGTGAGTACTGTACTTCCTCTTTAAGCTGCTAATAGATCAGTAGACATGAACTTGCATTGTCTATGTCAGGACATCTGTATAACTGGCTAAACCAGGTTACTGGTTTAGTATATTTTGCTGGTAACATTTTGAGGTCGGCTCTCCACTCCTGCGTCCTGCTAGAAATCAAAGACATGTGTCTGTGCTACACCTACTTCTTAAAGACACACTGTTAAATGTTTTGAGTATTCAACATACAAATCCTGCTTGAAGTTAAGATATTGGACTTGTTGTCTTTTATAGCTTCAGTAATTCTTCTTGTGAGGAATACTCATACGTCTTATGTTATAAAAGGCGGATACTTTCCTAATCCCTGCTGTGCTGCACAATCCACCATCAGATACAGTGAATGTTTAACATTCCATCTTTGCAAAGCGTTTCCTGCCAACATCTATTTATCATCTTATTATTTTTGTTAGGCAAGCAAAAGTCTTTTTTTTTCTGTATAATTCTCAATTTTGTACGCATTGAATATAGGGTACAAATGTTGTTATCACTGCTTAAGTGGATGAAACTTATCAGCAGGAGAGGAAATAAGCAGCGACCATCTGCCAAGTAAAGGTTGCCTGTGGCAGGAAAAGATGGCAGATCACCTGCCAACATGGTGGATTGAGTTTCCTTAGAATAAATACATATCATTTCTGGTCCCAAATAAAACATAGCTATGGATATTGGACATAACATTTATTTCATATTTCTACTGTTTGGTGCTACCGAGTCAGTTTGAAAAATTCTATAGCATTTCACATAGATGTAAGAAGCAGCAGACAAAAACAATGCATGGCCTCTGGTAAACATTTTCAGTGACCGAGCACAGTGGTCCATAAGGCCCATTTGAGACCTATCAAACAGTATAACTTATACGTTGATGTATGTAAAAAAAAAAAAAAGCATGCATAAACCAATGGCTCACATATCAATTGGCAGCAGTTCCCATTACAGTATTATAGCAACTTTCACAGATTGAATTGACATAGATATATTTAGCAGTGAGTGATGGCAGGCAGGCCGGCAGTGATAGAAGCCATAATGCAAATAGTAGAAGATGAAAAGGTAAAAATATAGCAGCATTCAGATAATGACTTTCTCCCTGCACCTTGTTGTTATGTTTGTCTGGGCATAAGCCATCAGCTCGAAATGTAAGGGTGTGACTATATTTACTCAGGTATGTCTGTGTCAGAGTAAACATCATCAATTTGCGTTTGTGTGGAGGCGTGAGAACACCACAGTATTTGGACAACCCTGTAGCTGCTCTGCTGTGATTTCTCTTCCACAGCCTGAATCACAGCAGTCTTGATGAGTTAAAGCTTTTTGACACAAAGTGTGTTCCTCTTAGGCTCCTTCATCTCCTTTGATATGACATCGCTGGCTGGTTACTACAAAATCCAGAGCTCGGCAGCAGACGGTTGACATCTAGTCAGGTAAGATATTTACTGGGGTCTACCTCGCAGCAGCTGGATCCAGCATGTTATTTTTCCAGAACCAACTGTTGCTGGTCTGTTACTGTTGCAACACGTGGAAAGCATTACCATTTGTGAAGGGGTTTCTAAAGGGCTCACACATAAGTGCTTGTTTTCTGTCTTGGTTTTCACTATGGAAACAAATGATACAACTGATTGTCGTAGTGTGTTAAAAGAGTCAGAGGATCTCAAGTTATCTCTTATTAGAATTCTCCGTCTTTAACATTGTAGAGTCAGTGTAAGACAAACATTTGAAAGTTCATTAGGGGAGGAGCTGAGAGGCAGTCTGGTGTGAGTTTCAGTGGAGCCTGATTTGCCTGTGTTACAACAACATGAAAATGAAAACAATGAGATTGTACAGTTGTCCGGCCCCTCCCATGTCTCAGGATCTGCCTTAAAGCTACACAGACCTGCTCACTACTTAAGCTAAAACATCTACCATATTAAGACATC